ACTGCTAGGTTGGCAGAAGCTGGGACAAGTAACAGGAGCTCACTCTGTTACACGGAGCTAGGGATTTGAACCACTGAACTGCCAACCTTTCTGATTGACAAGCTCAGCATCTTAGCCACTGAGCCACCGCGTCCCATAACAAAGTTACATCAACAGTATCTTTGTGTAATTGTGTCAGTATAAAAATAAATAACATATTATCCAGAACTGACTCTTATGCTAATATAAACATGTTTCTAAAATGGTGTCAGAAGCTGTTATTGATTCATTTACTTTAATTTTCCAAGTGTTTAAATAAGATTTTTCCTCTTCCGTGCATGGAGACCCTGGGGATTTACTGTACCTGTTCATGTTTGCATGTAAATTATAAGTACTCTTTCTCTAATAATTAAGATTTCCCCCTTCCCCAAACCTGGTTAGTCAACAATTAACCACAAAGTATTTACATTACTGAAAAAGGAGACAAGAGGAAGGTGCATCCCCCTACACACCATTCATAGCTTGAAGGGAACCATGGCTGCCTTTACTTTAGATTCCATTGGTATTTTCTCATTGGCTGCCTCTGAATTAAGGCACCAAAGAGACTAGACATTCTTAAGTCTTAAGAAAGTCATTGAAGAAATGGAGGAACAGATTTCAAACAAGAGTTTAGCAAATGAGTGAAGATTGGGGGGGGGGGAAGCTAAGTCCATTTTTTGTCTATAAATTGCTTACACTTCTGTATTGTTGACTCTAAATTATGCCTTGCTCATCAGAACCAAGAATAATATTTATTTCATGATAAGTATGGAATGTTTAGGAAATCTTTTAAGAGAAATACTAACCTATTTTTCCTTTAATGTACAGGCTAAACGCACACTCAAAGCTCAGAAACTGCAGGAGGAACTGGCTTCAGGAAAACTGACGGAGCAAGTGGTAAATCGGGGAAAAGAATGTCTAAATCAGAAGGAAAAGACAGTGTTTTCCTGTTTTTTTAAAACATATTTTTCTAGCTAGTATGTTGACACAAAAGCACTGAATATGGCTAACAGTTCTGTACAGTAAAGTTTTCCCCGTTGACTGAGTTAAAGGAATGCAAGGGCTTCTTTCACTTTGCAGTAAATTCTTCATTGCTTCACTAGATGGCAGTGTAAACTTTATATAATTCTTCTGAATGTGAGGAATCAAAGTGTCTCCTAGGTGATCCCGTGGGAGGAGTCATTGATGGGATATTCTCAGACCCCATTTGCCTTGAGACTGAGGTTAAATTGAGGCCGCTCCCCTCTGCCTCACTTCCTGGATCCCAGTTAATCTCAGTCTTCCGGCCTAATAGGAGACTTTTTTCTTTGCTCCTGACTTTAATCAATTTGGTGTGAGAATTTTCCATCCTTGCCTTCCCCACCTCCTCCCTTGTCTTCCCTGAGTGATTGTGGCTGCACTGGGCAATAGCTGGGCTTTGCTGGAGCGCCTCAGGCTCCAAGATTGCTTGCAGTCTCTGGGGAGCCTCCGAAGCTGGCCTCCAGGAGATCAGAAGAGGAACTGCATTTCCACCCCATCGGGGGCTGCTGGACCTCCTCCAGACCTCTGGGTGGTGCTGTTGAGGCAGAGCTCCTGGAGGAATCAGGCCGCATGATCAGCTACCGCCATCTTGGATCTCTGCCAGCTTCTGGGAAGAGGCACGTGGCCAGGACAGCCATTAGAACTCTGCAGAGGCCACGTGCAGAGGCACTCTCCCCATGAATCGGGGAATCGCTTCCAGCTGCTCCTTCAAGGCTCAGGCTTCCGATTCCCTCCCTGGGACATCTAACATTGGTATGTCCCATCAATGACTCCTCCCACAGGATCATCTAGGAGACTGAGTTGGTCTTACCTGAACTGCAGGTCTCTAGGTTCCCGTAAGAGAGTCATTCCCCATCCCAATTGGGCGCTGACGTGGGAAGTACCTAAGCATTCTTGTTGTATTAGGTCAGTTCGGTTCTTGGCTGGTTTGGTTGTTGTTGTGTTCCGTTTGCTGTTCCTTACCATTCCTACCAAATTCCTCTTATACTGTTAACCTTCGATTAAACTGGGAGCCAGAAAGTGAGGCAGAGGGGAGTGGCCTCAATTTAACCTCAGTCTCAAGGCAAATGGCGTCTGAGAATATTCCATCAATGCCTCCTCCCACTGGAACATAGAGACCTGCAGTTCAGATAAGACCAACTGATATTTTCAGGAGGAAAAGGTATTTTCATTGTTTGAAATTTATTTTCCTTTTCCTGGAAACCTAATTATTTATTCAGGTAGCTAAACATTTCTTCTTCTGGTTTGCAGCAACTCCCCAAGTTTGGCAAGAGGTGTTTTGTTTTTTGGGGGGGGGGGGTTGCATCACTGGCTACCTGATCTTTTGAAACTGGAAATTTCAGAGATTAACATTGCACAGAGAATGGACTCATTTCTTTATACATATGAGCTTGTGTTCTTTTTAGTAATGATGAAGTCTTATTTCATACTGGGTCTTTACATAACCAACACAAGGATGCTATCATAAGTGCTATGATCTATTTTGATTCCTTATCTCCTTTTAACAATTACTGGTACTTTTAAAATCTAAATTAGAAGCCAATTTAATTTAAACTATTGCATTAAAATTACAGTTTACTGTAACACTTATTCACTTATTCTTGATTTTAAGAGTGGGTATGAAATGTAAAAAAATATTTTAGTTATTTGTTTTGTGGCTAAGAAAGCATGAAAGAACAATCTTGTCAAAAGCTATTTTGAGGAAAGAGTGTTAGATAAATAAAATGGCTTGAAGCTAATAATCTGCCTTGGTCTAGCTTGAGGCCAAGTGGAGGCCTTTCTTTTCAGAATGCCTTTTCTCAAAATTTATCATTTCTTCTGATAACTTCACTGTATAGTTACTGTGATTGTGTTGATTTTGAGAGATTGTTTTTGTTTGTTTTCTCCAGAACTCCCCACGTCATCGATGGGGAGAAGAGGACCTAAATTCACAAACGGTGAGAGTGGTGTTGTTTTTTTAAAAAAATACATAACAAAATGCAAGATTTTATATATATATATATATATATGCCTTTCACATAAAGAATTTGATATTCTGTGTGGCATTCCTTGATTTTTTAAGTAGCCTTTATCATTTTGCCTTCTTATACAGAAATATATAGGTTCATTTCTCATTACAGCTGGAGTTTTTCAGACAAGTGATATAATGAAACTTTGACTCAAAGCAGAACTTAAATACCTAGCAACTTCAACCTTTATATAATTGTGTTTTTATTTGCAAACTGTTTAACCAAGTAATTCAGTCCTTCATTAATAGAATTATATTAATATTAGTATTTTTTTTAAAAAATCACTTAACTTTCGATATATGTATTTTGCTACTGATGCAAATGAAATCACACCAGTTAGTTAATGCCACACACTCTCTTTTTAGGAAAGAGATCATAACAGTGAAGATGAAGACGAAGACAAATATGCGGATGACATTGATATGCCTGGACAGAATTTTGACTCCAAAAGACGTATTACAGTCCGAAACTTGCGAATTCGAGAGGACATTGCTAAAGTAAGCTGGATAACATCAAAAACTGTC